CTCTAACTGGAAAGTACCACAATGACCATTAATCTAAATGCCTATCTCACAGAGATACAGGAATCCATGTGATAAATTTTAGAAGGAACCCATTTTTATCAATTACTTACAAAATTAGTCATGAAAGTTTTGCTTTAGATTGGAGGAATGCAAATATATTCATTTACTCAACAAATATTCTTGGAGTACTTTTGTTGCACCATTGTCCTGGGCTCTGGATCCAGCAATCAGTGATCCCCTCTAGGGAAGAGTACACCAATTGTCAGTGCCAACAGCCTTGAAAACATATGTTCAAGTTATATGGACTCCATGGGCTATAGTTAGGAATATATGTACATACAAATGCATATATGAATGCAATACAAATTTATGAAAGAGGTTGAAGCCTCGTGGGCTTTCCCAGTCTCATTTGGCATATTCATTGGTGTTATCCACCACACAGTCTCACATCAAACTCCCTAATCCTTGGCTTTTACATTCTTTCTGTCCTCTCCTCTGCAATGTTGCTCCTCTACAATGTTCCCTGAGCCTTAGGAGTCTTTTGTAGATATATCCAACAGGATTGGGCTCCACAACTCTGCATTTCAATTGGTTTGGTTTTCTGTAACGGTCTGTTTGTTGGAAAGATGTTTCCTTGACAAGGGGGGAAGACTATCTTATCTGCCGGTACTCCATTTCTAATTATAGTAAAGGAGGAAAAGTCTTGTCCTTTGGCTCAGCTGGAAATCAGTAGTCTGTCCTGCAAGTCTATCGTCCTCTCTGGTGTCTTTACATCTGAGCACTGAGGTCCAGGTAATTATTTGTTTTTATTGCTGGCTTTCAGACACTGCAGAAGCTGTGGGAGGGATGTATTTGAGATCTTTTTCCTCCTCTTCCTTCCCCTTGTTGTCCCTTGAAGGGCTCTAGGCACAGCACCCCATCGTCTGTCCCTCTCTGTTCCCCTGGCTCTGTGGCATAGCTGTGACACTGTGATAAAGACCAAGAACCAGACTTGAGCTGGAAAACAGTACAGTCTTCTGGCTTTTTGTCCTTTTTAGACCAGTAGAACCAAGAAACGGCAAGATTACCCATTTTCGTACAGAAAAACAATGTTGTTAAAACATGTCAGCTTTTGATCCTTTCCAGATAAATTTCTATCCCAATTCTTGGAAAAGGAGACCTTACCAAGGCTTTATTTTTCTTTGTGCTGCTGTGTTTACCTGATAGGAAAAAAAAAATCTGCATCAATCATTTTAGGACTCAGAAAGTAGGGTGGTAATAAAAAGAGAAGCAAACCAAATGAATTTTAGAGGTACAGATATAAATGTACATATAAATAAATGTGAGAGAGAACAGAATTTTAATATTCTCAAGAGAAACTTAAAAATGAACCTCTAATTCTTATTTTAATAGGTCAAAGAGCACATTGGAAACACTGAGTAAATGTTTTCCACAGTGCCAGGCTTTGTAGTCATTGTATATGGTATTTGTGTCCAGTGCCACAGTATGTCCAACACTCTTCATTTATAGAGCAGAGGCAATGTGGGCCACAGTGAAACTCTTCCCGGGTAGCCGGTACTGCCCACACTGGATTAGATCTTGATTTGGAGGCAGCCCTGGTATTGCCCCAGGCAGGATGTATACAATGAACAAAGAATACACACATTGGCTACCAGTTAGGAACACATGTTACGTCATGTAGTTGGCAAGTGGTTAAGAGCTTCGTAGTATAAATGGGCAGTAAGCTCCCATGCAGTGGTTCCCTGGTTCTCACCTAGTTTGGATCCTTGCTGTGCTGTAAGATTGCATGCTAGTTAATCTTTCTCTAAGATCCACTGAATACCATACTCCACAAAGGCTACTGCTTTGGATGACAAGTACAATGTTGATTCCATTCATTCGTCAATCATGTTCTAGTCTGGAAAGCTATGTTGTAATTTTCTTGTTTGGTTTTTGTGAGATTTTATTTTAAATTCATTTTAGTTTTTAGAGACAGGGTCTTTTATATCCCAGGCTGGCCCCAAATTCACTCCATATCCCAAGATGTTCTTGAACTTGTGATCCTTCCTACTCTATCCTTCCCAGTGCTGGGATTACAAGTGTGTACGATTACAGCCAGTTTTATGCAGGGCTTGAGAGTGAACCCATTCATCTCAGGCAAGCACTGGACCAGTTGAGCTACATCCCCAGATCCCCTTGCATTCATTCTCACCTTTTAAGTGCACCCAAACTCGGCCAGAAGCTCCATTGTGATGTATATCCTTTTAGGTTTCATCTTTATGTTCAATACTCATATGCTGATGGATTTTGTTTGAGATTTAGTCTCTCTTATGACTGTCAACAATAAAGTGAAATAATATAGGAAATGTGAATAAAATTTAGATTATGCTGATACACTCTTTTAACTCCATCCTTTTCATTTTTCCAGGGAGCCATGGCACCTTCTAACTTTACTTTCTATTTAGGTATTCAGTAGCTCTAGTTCTGTCCCTCTATAGCTTAGACCTGGGAAAGATGGTGGCAGTCGTCACCTTTATCTTAGAATAAATTTAAGTCTTCATTTTCCCAGGGGAAAAAAAATGAACAAGCTGTTAATAAAATGATACTTAGAGAGAATATAGAGAGATGATAATGCAGGCCTCCAGTAGGGAGCATCATTCTGTTTGGGCACCAGTGTGGCTCCAAGACTGAGAGCAGCAGCAGATTCAACCACAAAGCTCTGATTTAGAGGCATCAAGTTTAGGAGTTGGTAAGTATATGCAGTCTCCTACAGCAGATATCTCCAACAGGAGTCTGGTATCCTTGGTTGTCTGTGCCCTTTCACTAAGGAAGGCTAGCTGCTGATGGGTGCACATGCTTCCTAAGCCATAATCATACTTTGTCTAGATAGTTTAAAAAGAAAACAAAAGTCTTTACAGTCAGAAGACTCAGCAAGTTCTATTCAGTGATGAAGGCAAATTATGTGAGAGGCATATGTAAGGACAACATGATATGAATGGTACTATCTCAAAAAAAGATTCTTTAATGAAAGAAACACACATTCATAATCAATTCAGTCCTATTTAGCAGAAGCAATGTAGTTCAGATTTAAGGAATTAGCTATATTTAAAAGATGCAATTCTCCAAAGCAATTGAATGATTATTAATTATTTGATAAATAACTCATTATCTTCATCAACTGTTTTACCCAAGAACATAAAATCTTTCATCTTGAACTACTACTTAAAAATAGCAAAATAAAGCATTTTGGATTAAGTTTATGTACACGAAAATCTTGCATATCTACTTCTATTCAGGTGCTTAGTGGTGATTTGAATGGAATCCAGTTTCTCACACATGCATGTACATATGTGACATGTACTAAGGTATGTCCCTATCCCTTTTCATATTTTGTAACACAATCAGGTGAAGTTGCCCAGGAGGAAATTAAAGTTGTGATCCTCCTGCCTCAGTCTCCCAAACAACTGGAGTTACAGACCTACACCACCAGGACATTTTTATATTTTTGAAAAATCACTAGAATGTTTTAGCTCATCTAATAGGCTGTTTTTGAACTGTAATTTTAATCATTGCAGAATAAACTGTTTTAAAGAATAAAATGGCTCCTGGGTTTGTATGAATAGGAATATCTTCTTTTTTTTCTCATAATAGAGCAATGTTTTCCATGTTAGCAAAGTCTTCAAAGGCCTCCCTCTTTATAGTAGGATACAACAAACACATTTCTGTATGCTAGGGGATGTCTTTCTTTACTGTGAGTATACTTTGTTCACATTGGTTAATAAATAAGCTGTTTTGGCCTATGGTAAGGCAGCTTAGAGGCAGGTGGGAAATCCAAGGAAAGTGACAGGAAGAAGAAAGGCAGAGTTTAGAGAGAAGTCAGTACCACCAGGAGAAGCAAGATGTGAAAGTGCCAGTAAGCCATGGCCACGTGGCAATTTATAGATAAATAGAATGGGTTAAGTTATAACAACTAGCTAGCAAGATGCCTGCCATAGGCCATACAATTTGTAAATAATATAAGCCTCTGTGTGTTTACTTGGGTCCCAGTTGCTGCGGGACTGCAGGTGAGAGAGATTTGTCTGGACCGTGGGGGAGGGGGGCAGGACCCAAGAAACCTTCAAACTACACCTGTGACCTATGAATCAGAAAGTTGTAGCAAATCTTAAGTCATGGTAGGAACTTCACAACCATAGAGCAGGATGTCATTCAGACGAGTCACCTTAGAATAACCTCTGGAGATGCATTTGCATTAGCTTAGGGCTGGTCTGCAGTCACAGCCATCATAGCTTCAGGAGAGAAGGGGTCTGTGCACTGGAAGAAAGATGGGTGATGTTTTCACCCAGACAGGAGGCATATTACTGGAATAACCAAAACTATGCCTTGCAATTGCTCTGCTTCTCTTTCGAGGCTTGGAAATCGGTGCTGTACTACTCAACACAGACTGATTCAGAACAGAGGCTTCCTTGTTTGGGGAGGGAAGATTTCTAACAGTTGTTGCTGCAGGATTTCATATCAGTGTTTTCAGGGGCATCAGGCTAGTTGTTAAATTCTTAAGACTAAAAGGGAATATTGTGTATGGATATAATAGACAGCTTCTCCTTTATTATCAGATGCAAACCTTTCCAATTTCTTCATTTCGCATATAGTTGCAATCACTTTCTGCCTTTGCTGCTTCATTTTCCAGTGGGGTTTCCCTTCTTGTGTCTCCTTCCTCTCCCTAGGACCACACTGCTAATACTCAAGAGACTTGTTTTGGAAACAAAAGTCCTTGACTTTTTAAGGTCTATTATTGTGGTGCCAATGTCTATTATACAAATGCTTGATATTATATACCCTGATGTAAAGTGATAAAACAGCAGGCATACCCTCATAATTGAAGCTACTTTGACCAAGTTATTTCAGGATTTCGGCACAATAGAGGCATTTGGTGTTAATGTCATTAATTAAATGTATGTTGCATTCTGATAGCAGACAGAGGAAATCAACTTCAGCTGTATCATATTTGCTCTTCTCCTGTGCAGGCTCGCCAAGACCATCACTATGACTGATGGAGATTATGATTATCTGATTAAACTCCTGGCCCTTGGAGACTCGGGAGTAGGAAAGACAACATTTCTTTACAGATACACAGACAACAAATTCAATCCCAAATTCATCACTACAGTGGGAATAGATTTTCGGGAAAAACGTGTGGTAAGCTTTTGACTATACTCTTAACCTTTCTACTTATTCTCTTGTATCAAATACGAATTGAGAAATTGTGTTTATTGTACTTCAAAGTGTCTGAGTTTTTTTGTCACATGAAACTCAAAACTTCAGAATGTTATTTATTACATTTTCAACTACCAGTAACATTTTGATAGAAAAATATTGAGTGACACTATCTGTCTTCAAAAGCACACTAAAATAAATGAGTTGTTGAATTTGTGGATAATGTGTTTTCTGTGAATTCTTAACTAATCTTTCAAATTTTGACTTATTAAAGTACTAGAAGTATTAATTCATTGGTCCAAGGTAAATTTCTTAGAAAATTGAAGGATTTATTTCCTTACTCCTAACAAAGAGGTTAAAAGTATGATTGGCAAATAGCTGGAACACAAGATTTATAAGTTCTTGCTGCATTTTTATTTCTGTGTAGCCTCAGCCATCAATCACTGGCTTGTTATGAACAGAATGTGAGACCCATCCATGCTATTTTCCATGATAAGGGAGCTTAAGTGAGAATCACAACACCATTTCCTTCTCCCATGCTAGACACTAATGACAGGAAGGAGGATATTGTGACATGTGAGGCATGTAGCATAGGCACATAAGCTTAGCCAGATTTCCTGCCACCCATGGTATTCTTGACTGCCAAGATCAATGTGCCTTCCAGTTGATGTCACAAATCCCAAAGGGAAATGCTTGGTGGAAAGCCACTGTATGAAAGTTGATTCGCTTCCTATACCTTAACTGAGAGCCAATAGAGTGTGGACAGCTCTGCTTCCAGCAACTCCAAGATTCTTCTGACTTCTCCCCTTAGCAATGCCTACCAATCTAGGCAGAAATATTGCAAAAATGTGCCTATAAAACATTTCCACTAAGCCATGAACATTATCTGCAAAGACCCTCTAAAGAAGAGGCTAAAAGACAGAGTCCGAAGTGTCCTAACTCAACCCCCTGAGAAATTCTGTGTTCATTTTCTAACCTAAGTCATCTTGAAAGTCAATTCTCTGCTAAAAGATAGCCAGGTACTTATGAAGCAAGTTTTATTTAAAATGGTTTTCCCATTTGTAATTTCATTTAAGTTTATTACAGCTATAAAATATGAAAGGACTGTGGTCTCAATTTGTCGAAGTTAAAAAAAAAATAGACTCAGTAGTTTAAATGAAAAGTTGATTTTTGAACCTGGGCTTTCATCCTGATCTGGTGTCTGCTGCTTCCATGAGGAAATGACAGAAGGTGTCTAATTTAAGCTTGCAGTATGCTTAAACTGTGTTGAAAATCATACTGTACTTGACATTTCAAAGTGAGATATATGTGATACTTGGGGAGAAAATAAAGCAAATATTTATTCTGCACTATGAACTTTGATTATCGTAATCAACGAAAACACTCTGGGTGAACCCAGAGAACTACAATGTTGACAAAATCCAAGGCGTTATTAACCGGGGAGGATTGTGTTTTTCAGGTTTACAACACACAAGGAGCTGATGGGTCTTCAGGGAAAGCGTTTAAGGTACACCTGCAGCTTTGGGACACTGCTGGACAAGAGCGGTAACGGGAAATTACTTTATTTCTAGCTACCTATAACTTAGAAAACACTGAAGGATGAACATTGTAGATGAACCTCAAAAACATGGTATCCAACTTTTCTACCAGTTTCAAAATAGATAGCTATGCCCAGTGTGGTAGTACATTCCTATAACCCTAGTGCCCAGGAGTCTGAGGCAGGAGGATGGCTTCAAGTCTGGGCTACAAAATGAGAGCAACTTTTTCTCAAACTAAACAAACAAAATAAAACAACTAATGGGCATTTGTATCAGGAAATAAAAGTCTGTGGTTTCTAGTTCGTTATTCACACTAGTACTGTATAGATAGCGCAGATCCGAACAATTGGAGGGGAGTAAATCTACCTTCATACTTCCTAGTGAGGAGAAATTTCTCAGATATACTCCAGTGAAGATTGAGAATTAGCATTGTTGCAAGAGCTGATCACAGACAGAGTTGAAGAGAAGGTGTTTCACCCTCCCTGTCTTTCTGGTCTCTCACCCATATTCTCTGTTATACGCTTGGTAACTGCCTTTTCTCACTCAGTGTTGGCTCGCACCATTACTTGATATCTAGAATATTTTTTTAATTAAGCTCTGTGTATGATGCGCCTGCATTTTCAGACATATTATGTATGATGTACGCATCTACATGTGTGTATACATGGCCATGTGTGTGACTGCGGGCGTGCATGGGCCATGACATGTGTGGGAAGGTCAGAGAACAGCTTTGAGTATAGGAGTGTGTAGGTCTTCTTCATCTTTTCCCATGCTGAGATAGAGGCTCCTGCCTTGTTAGTCACTGATGCACTTGCCAGGTCAGCTGGCCCAGGAGCATCCTGGGATCCTCCTGTCTCTCCTTCTCACCTCATTGTAGGAGCACCTAGATTACAGATGCACACTACTATGTCTGGCTTTGCATGGGTTCTGGGGATCCATAATGATCTGCCTATGCTAGGAGCACATTGCCCACTGAGCGATTGCTTCAGGCCTAGAACCTCTTTCCCACCTTCCTAACCTTCTTTCTCCAGCCTTGGCTCAAATTCCACCTCCCCAGTGAAGCCAGTAACAAATCCCCACTTTCTTTTGAACTCCAGTGACACCTATATTCTGCCACTAAAACGCTACTCCATAGATGCTATGTCACCATTTAATAAGATAACTTTTCCATTATTTTTAAATCTCTCACTGCCCTTTATCGACTCGCTCGTGGCCATCTTTTCCCAACAAAGCTGTGAGCTGCATAAGGGCGGAATTCTTCCTAGTCTTTCCACCTCATTTCTGCTGTCACATGCAAGATAGCAAACAGTATATCGCAGCATGGATTGCTTGGAGCTTGCAGTGATATTCCATTATTCAATGAAAACATGTTTCTTTGGGACCCAATTTCCAAGTGTTAAAGACCCACATCTAATAAAACTGTCTACTATCAGATTGAATAAAAGTGGCGACAGAGTGACAGCAAAGATATGTAGGAGACATCTTGCCCCCAATTCTGCATCATATGTCTTAGAATGCTGATGCTTGTAAACACCCATATTTTTGAAATGCATCCAAAATGTTCTCGCTTTCAGTGAGTGTAAACGCCAGGAGAGGTGGCGGGCCCTCTCTGTTAGCTTTTTTGACTGTGCATTCCATTTACACACACCCTTCAACACTGCTGGTTCTTCTGAAGTCACTCCTCATAAGAGTCTCTTTTCATGTGTCAGTTTTGTTGTCACAAAGATGTATGTTTTATAGACCAATTTAATTCATTTTTGAAGAAGCAATACGGAAAAAAAAATGTGGTTCCCATATGTCCTTGCACACGATATGTCAGCCTTGCATGATGGCCGACTTCTCTCATCTGTCCCCTTAATACAGCTGCATTGTAGGGGAATGGGATGAGTTGTCTTAGTAGCTCTTGGCTTATTCATCCCTTAAGAATTTTGCATGCTGTGGGTATAAGGTGTAGCTAAGCAACAAGATAAACAATACCACAAACCTCAGCCCTATGCCTTGGGGCTTCTGGCAATATAATCCAGGTAAGGGTAGTGGTCATTGATAAAAAGTCAATGATAGGAAAGCAGGAAAATACATAATCCTATGTGAACATAAAGAGTCTAACCCTTGAGCCCCCTCTAGGGATATACAACAATAAGGAGCCTGATTCTGGGGTCTGTTGCTTTTTATGGTCTTAGCTTTTCCCACCTGAGCCACTGACTAGGGTGAGATGGGAAAGGAGTATGTGTAACTGGGTATTAGGTGCATTTCTTCCACGGAGTAACGGAAGGAAGGGTGACAAAGGACGACTGATCCAGGATGTTAGCCAGCTCCACAGCAAGTGTCCTGTCTGTCTGTGCTGCTGTTTAGTGAGGAAAATGTTGCTTCAGTCAGATGACACAATAAACATGCTTTTTAACTACTTCATCATTTGCTGTGGGCAATGAGGAAAATAACACACAGGCTTGTCCTTCACACACATACACACACACACACACACACACACACACACACACACACACACACACACGGATCACTTTTCTCAGCCACATCAGTACAATGATTAAGAAACAGCTTTGTGGGCACAGCTTTTCTGCAGAGGGAACTATTACAGAATGCCTGTGATCTCTAAGAGCTGCCAGGAAGAGGCAGAAACAGACCCACATGGAAACAAAATGAGTAATGCTTTTGGTTTTTATAATCTACACCTTTGCGTTTCAGAAATGCTGTGCAAAAGCAATGATTGATTTATCTCTTCCCTCATGCTTCAAAGAACCGTTCTCTTTTGATGTTGTTTAAAATCTGTAAGAATAGCGAACCTTTTACTGTACTCTATCTTTTTCTTATTTTCTTTAATATCCAAATGCACTTTGTAAGTAAATAGCATGTTCTGGGCAATGAAAACAGGCTGTGTTCTCAATTGGAAACACAGCTCCTTTTCCCTTAGAGCTTACAGATGAGTGTAGACATTGGGCAAGCAATCAATCTCAGCATGGCCCCGGGACAAGTGTCAGGAGACAGAAGGTGGTAAGTGAGCCCTCTAGGAAGAGGCTATTCCCAGAAGGCTCCAGGAGGAAGCAGTGTTTCCTCTGGTGCATTACGTTTGCACTCATACACAATGCATGAGGGAGAGTAATCCAGCTAAAGGACAGGCAGAGGAAGAGGAAAGACTAATGTGAGGCAACCCGCGGAACAACCAGCGTGTGAGGGAGCCCGGGGGGACAGTGAACTTTCTCAGAACCGAGAGAAGATTAGCATGCCCGTGGGTAGTAGGCAAGAGAGGAAGCCTAATGATAGACGGGTGAGGATCCTGCAAAGTCTTGATGGCTGTAGTGCGGTGCTTTGGTGCTATCCTAGGAGCCATGCATCATCATTAAAATGTTGTTAGTGAAAGAATCACAAAATCAACAGGAAGAAATGCGAACTCCCCCAAACTAGACATAGGAAGCTTACTAAGACGGTAATTGGGGGTGAGCCATCATGGGTGTGAAGCTAGTGGAGCAGGAGATCGTGTAATGAGGTGAGCCAGTGAAGGAGCAGGTGTTGATGATGCACAGGCAGTGAGGAGGGAAAAGAGGAAAAGGGCTGTGCCACCGACAGGGTGAGACCGCCCTTGCCAGAAAAAGAAGACAGGAAGGAGAGCAGCTGAGTTTGGGATGGATGCCTGAGTTTTGTCTATGTGGGAAAGTCTCTAAAGCATGAATTCAACAGACAGCAAAAAGCTATCTAGCTATCTTGGGTTGTTCAACATATAGGCTACAATGAAGCCCGGGGAGTAAATGACATCTTCCAGGGTGTGTGCATAAAATGAGAAGGGTCCAGAATAGAGCTCGGAGAAAACCAACATGAAATAGCTACCAAGTAGACTAAAATGAGAGACCAAAAAATTAGGAAACCATGGAGGAGAGCAAATGCCGCACTTCTCGATTTCAAAGCTGGGCGCCTTTCTGACGTTCCATTGTTAACTTCAGCCCTTCCCTGGTCCCTGTGTGCATTCTCCAGTTCTGCCCCGTGCTGACGTCATTGTGGGTCTCAGCCTATCTTTATCTTCACTAAAGAAGTCAGGGCAGGAGCAAGGGAGGGGATCAGTGAGTGTGCGTCTTAGCATTTGTATAATAGCATACTTCCAGAATCCTACACTGTGAATAAATATTCTCACTTTCTTTCCCCATGACCCAAGTTTCTCCTTTGTCCTTCCTTCAGTCCCCCATCATCTTCCTCTTCCTCATGACTCACACACCCACCTGAGGGAGACTCTCACCCCAAAGGGTGCTTTAAAAAGAGTTCATCAGCTCTTCTAGTTCTGAACTGCAGCATGCTTTGCATGCTCACAGAGGTTCTCATTCTCAGGCTGATGATATGCCTGCTTTTCTTCTGGCCACAGACAAGAAAAATTGAAAATTCTAAGGTAAAGTCCACTATCAATGGGCTAAGATTTTAATTGTGGCGCAGAAGAAGCCATAGGCGAGAGAGAGAGAGAGAGAGAGAGAGAGAGAGAGAGAGAGAGAGAGAGAGAGAGAGAGAGAGAGAGATTCCAAGAGGCTGTGGTGGCAAGTTAGTGATTAAATGGAACTCTATTATCAGCACCATGGCACCATAGAGCCTGAGAGTGGTCTTTAAAAAATAATTTGCAAGCAGATCTTCTCTCCCTGCCCTACAGCCGTCTTCTGGCCTAGTCTCACATGTCCACCTAGAAAGACATGTGCATGCTATAGAGACAGCATGTATGTGTGGGCAACATTGTTGTTTGGCCTGTGATTATGAGTTTGTGGACTGAGAAACAGTCACTGTGCTTTGTCGGCAGGTTCCGGAGTCTCACCACCGCCTTTTTCAGAGACGCCATGGGCTTCTTGTTAATGTTTGACCTCACCAGTCAGCAGAGCTTCTTGAATGTCAGGAACTGGATGAGTAAGTGGGCTGAGTAATACATGTGGACAGCTTCTTTGGGACTTGGCAGCTCTGTTTGCTTGTTTGCCTTGTGGAAACGCAGCCACAGATTAACTCTGAAAAGACGTGAGCACAGTGTACCCTGTGTCGTCTTCAGAGTGGTGACTTTTGTATCAATAAGCAACACGGGTTAGAATTCTGTTTTCCTTTGACTCTTCCTAGAGAAGCCTATGAGACTATCTCAGGACTAAGGGTTTTAGCATTCTGGTTAAGCAGCCATTGCTTTCATTTGTCCAATAAGACATGAGGATTTTTGACAAAGTGAAAGATAACGTGTATAGTATTAAATTTGAATAGACAAGACAGAGAACATCCATAGTGTTTCCTGGGGGGTGGGGGTGGGGGGGACACTGGCATCTAGACATGCTTAAGGGTGAAAGGGTTAACTAAACTAGGAACTACTCCAGAGAACAGCCAGCCATGTTGATAAGGCATGGCTCTGGAATCACCCAGCTCACACAAGGTTTTGCTTGAATAAAATGTTGTTAAAGGAGGATGAATAGGATGCTCCATCAGCTGGAATGCTTGCTGTGTAAGCTTGAGGATTTGCGTTCAGTCCCCAGAACCCACACAAAAGTGGCAACAGTGGTAGGCTGCAGTTCTGCTCCCAGCACTAGAGAAGTGGAAACAGGAGATTCCCCGGAGCTTCATGGCCAGCCACTGGATCCACAAGGTCTGAGAGGCATCTCAAGAAACAAGTAGACAAATGATACCTGAAGAATAGAATGGTTGAATTTTGATCTCCAAATGCAGGCATATCCGTGTACATATACATCTATACACACATCTGTGCACATACACAAGAATAAATAAACAAGTTGTTCAAACATGGAGACAATCTAACTATAGGAATCTCCAGCCTCCCTCCCTAGCTCCTTTCTCACCACCCATCAGAGTCTGTGACTTCATACTTAGCTCAGAATAAAAGCCGAAGTCCTTCAGCTACATCCAGGCCCACTGTGAAGCATGACTAGTCCCTCCTTGTGAGTCTCTAATCACTGACGCTCAGCCACACTTCAGAATAGTGAAGCTCTTCTTCCTAACCATCTTTGCCCTTCCTGTCCCCTCTGCCTGGATTTCTCTTCTTCAGTTGACAACCCTGTGCTACTTCCTTCCTTCCTTCCCTCCCAAGATGTTGCCTAGACTTTATTTCTCTTTAGAGAGAGCTCTCCTGATCTGCCACTCCACCTCCTGCAGTGCTTGTCACCCCTCTGTGTCCCCTCAACAATGCATGGTTCATTTGGATGCTGCCACCACGCCCCCGACATGGTTACAGATTTTTTGCTTGTACTTGTGTCTCATACTATTTCTAGCATAGAATACATGCGCTGAGGAAGAGTAGGCTTCACACATTTATTCCAATGCAATATTCTGCACTTGTCCTGGCACTTTGTGTATGTTCAGACTCTTGCTATGTCTATCTAGGTCTCTATTGCTACATTTCTATGTATAAAACACATTACATAAAATTTATAATGCACTAAATATAGCTAGGTAAATTAATGATGGACTAAATATAGCAATAGGTAAAATTTTATATGTATTTTGAATGTTAATTCAGTAACCAGTTGCAGCCAATAGGGAAAATATCAACAAAGCCTGACTTTCTTAATTCCCTCTCCAAATTAATGTTTACCCTAAGATCTGTCTTTATTTCCTTTGAATGTTGTATGTCCTTATCCAAATTCTGGTACTATGATTAGATTCCGTTGAGACAAGGAAATAATAAGATTATTAGATTCTTTCAGAGAATAGTTTGTTTGTTGTTTTTCAAGGCAGATGGTCCTCTCCCTCAAGTCTCCAGGAAGATATTATTGGGATTTAGGATAATTAATTGCCATGTCTAATAACCTCTGGGTTTCTAACACTCAGATCATTGATATTACAGGATAAATCTTTGTGTGCTTCCTCCAGTCTTGGCTACATGACACATAACAGGTCTTAATGAGGTGGAAGGCACAGGTGGAGTGGTCTCTCTTTCCTTTCCTTTCCTTCCCTTGCTTCTTCCTTCTTTCATTCCTTCATTACTTAGTTTATTCTCTCTCTCTCTGTTTCTCTCTGTCTCTGTCTCTCTCTGTCTCTGTCTCTCTCTCTCTCTCTCTCTCTCTCTCTCTCTCTCTCTCTCTCTCACACACACACACACACACACACATTTGCCTAAAGAAACAGAAAAGATTTTATCTTAAGCTTGTTTTTTTGCATGAATTTCCTGTTTTTCAAGCCCTGTCCATTCCGTAAGTCATCACTTTGATGTCAGGAGAGGGGAACACAGCTGCCATCTAATGGAGCAAATGAACATACATGAAAATCATGTTCTATCATCTCCAAGTGAAAGGCTTAGATCAAGCCTGATATTCTTATCTGAGGAACCAATGGCAAGAAGTCACATAGGTCAGAGGGCAAGCTCCCGGGTATAGGTGAGCATGTTTAGGTATCAGTTCAGGTATTTCCTGTGTACCTATCTTTCAGCATTACTATCTGTAATTTGTGAGGCAACATCTCCATTTTATAGATGAAACTGTGAGGAGAGATGACCAGGCTGATCAGCATTAGTAGGCAACAAAGCTGCAGATGAAGAGCTGGGTTAAGAATCTAGAGTATGAGCGGTCCTTTAACATCATTTGCTTGTGACTAACTCACTGCTTCCCTCTGCTTCCTTACCAAGGCCAACTGCAAGCAAATGCTTACTGTGAAAACCCAGACATAGTACTAATCGGCAACAAGGCGGACCTACCAGACCAAAGGGAAGTCAATGAACGGCAAGCTCGGGAGCTGGCTGAAAAGTATGGGTGAGTCACTCTCACTGGGAACCATCTGACCTTGTCCAGAGATGAAGCAGAGCCATGAGGGAGACAGTTGAAGGAATCCCCTTGGATCAGAAACAGCAGTGAATTAAAAAGTCTTTCCAGCTGGGGAGATGGCTCACTGGGTAGAGTGGAGACCTCAGTTTGGATCTCTAGCACCCATGTGCTATGGTAGAATGTGTCTGTAACCCCAGTGTTGGGAGAAGAGATGAGGTTCATTAGCCACCCGGTGTAGCTAAATCAATGAGCTCCAGATCTAGTGACTGACACTCACAAGCAAGCAAGCCTGCACATACATACACATAACACACACACACACACACACACACACACACACACACACACACACACAAACCTCCCTTCCAAAAGCATATTAATAATAGCATCTCACATTTATTGAGTCTTTATCATGCATTGGCCATTGTTGCTAGCCTTCAGCTCATTGAGCTTCTCATAGTCATATGCAGGAGACACTGGAGTCACCCACCTTTTGCATAAGAAGGACTGAGTCACAGAATAATTAAGTGCTTGGTAGAAGGCTAAATAGCTATTAAAGAACCAAGCTTAAATTTAGTTCAAGGAATCTACATCAAGCCTTATATTCATAAACTCGGTACTTTACTGCCTCTCACTTAACAGTTACTTAGGTGAGCAAAGAACAGTATCTGATTTGGCCTGGATAATGCAGCCGTCTTCCTGGGTAGACTTGACTGGCAGCTGAAAACAAACTCAAACAAAATCAGCCCATGTGATTGCAGATTAACCTCCATGGCAGAATTTGTCAGTGACTTTTAAACTTAAAGCAGTTTTATCATCTGCCAGAAAGAGCTCATTTGGATCTTTCCAGTTTAGATCTTCTTGATGCTGTTAATTACAAATACATGTAGCTTACCCTCCCGTGAGGATTATATCCAATGTATGCAGCATTTTGAAAGCAAATTTCTAGGTGATTGGCCAGAGGGAAGTACACTGTTAGTGATGCTGCTGACCATAAAATGTTAGCGGAGCTGCTGACCACTGTTCTAGACATTTCTCCTACTGGTTTGTTTACTCCATTGTGTTAAAGTGGTGGGGATGCCTTGGCTGCAGCTTTCTGACTAACCCCTCTAATGGTTTCCCATACACTGGGGTCATGACAGCATGGAAGAACAACTCATTAATTTTGACTTAGTGAAAAAAACAAAACCAAACCAAGAAACAGAAAACAAGGTTTCCAACTTGCCGGCAAAAACTGACACTAAGATCTCTTTGCCAGCCATGTATTATGTGGCCTTCACTTGTGTTTTGTATCTCTTCTGATCTCTCTCTTCAAACAACATTTCTCATTAAGATTTTGTGTGAGACTGCTTCCTCTTGAGAAGGCCCTGGCAACAACTGCGTGGTTCTCTGGTCCCTAGGTCCCTCTCTTTCTGTTAACCCATGTGCTCAACTTAAATTTATACCAATATCTTTATTCTCAAAGAACAAAAGTTTAAAAATTAAAACATAATTACATCATTTCCCTGTATATAAATGAGACCCACTGAGTTCATTTAGTGTTGCTTGTGTGAATACTGGGGGCAGTGGGATTAACCACTTGGGACTGGGTAACCATTTAGGGTGCTCATCTCTGGGAAAGACTAATTCTTCCTTTCTTGGCAGCCCTTCATCAACTAGGGGTGGGGCCCCATGCAATTTCCCTATCCACACTGGCATTTCAAATAGTGTTGTCACTGCCCAGCTTCTATTTAGGTAGCTATATTATTGAAGTATCGTGGGAGTAATTTCTCTGTCATTTCTAGGAGAGACAGGATCTTATAGCAGACTCCCTGGTCCTTAATTAACCTCAGCTCTTGCACTGGAAAGACGACTTAGTCATTAAGAGCACTTGGCATTATTTTAGAGAACGAGTTTGGTTCCCAGCATCCATGTCAGATGACTTATAAACACTTGTAGCTCCAGCCCCAGGGGACTTGACACCTTCTTCTGGCTTTCTTAGGTGTATATGTGCACACACCAACATGCACACACATATACACAAACTCACATACATACATACACACATACACATGTGCATGTGTATACACACATAAATGAAAATAAAATCTTTTAAAAATAAACCCTAAATCTACCTTAAAATGATTTTGTGTGAGAATGTTATTATCTGCATTATTCAAGAATATAGTAAGTTCAGTGTCACAATCTGGTGACTATATTTATTAATGGTAACATTGCATTCTTGAACAATGAAAGAGTTTGGATAGTAATAAGACATGATAACCTCATGAAGTAATAAATTTGTTAATTAGCTAGAGTTAATCTTTCTATGATGCATATGCACTTCAAAAGAATGTGTTATATATGAGTCATAGATATAATTTTACAGGTCAATTTGAAAAATCTGTTTTTTGTTTTTTTATGTTAGCATACCATACTTTGAAACAAGTGCTGCAACAGGACAGAATGTAGAGAAGTCTGTGGAAACCCTTCTGGACTTAATAATGAAGAGAATGGAACAATGTGTAGAGAAGACACAGGTTCCGGACACTGTCAATGGTGGAAATTCTGGAAAGCTGGATGGGGAAAAGCCAGCAGAAAAGAAATGTGCCTGCTAGAGACACTCCTCCTAAGAACCAGTGATGAAGAGCCCACCCAAATACTACATCCTGAAATAATGCAAACCACAAAGTTGTTGTTGAGTAGATCATGAGCAATGGCATGTCTTTCTCTTCCCTCCCCAATCTATTTTAATAAACCAGGATAGTCAATAGTGTGAAAAGAACTGTACTGTTAACCTGAGTCCCTTCCAAACAAAAAATCAAAGTTCTCCTAAGGTGGTCTCACCGTCATGGATGCTTGGTTGTATTTTTATAAAGAAGTTGTGTATAAGAGAAGAAGTATCTGTGACTTTTAAATGAAAGCACATATTACTATCAGCCTGGAGAAAGGAATAGGCTAACTAAAAAGAATATTAAAAGATTATTTCTGTTCACATCTACTTATGTGAAGTATGAGTCATAGTCTATATTTGCACTGGGGAAAATATATTCCTAAAAATAGACACATAACAAAGAATTCTGTGTGGCTTATTAAGGATGACTACATTTACCCAATAAGCTACACTGATAAGGTTGTGAGTGGGTGAATGTCAGACTTCTTGTAGGAAATTGTATAATAATGCCATTTTTATATTTTTATAAATGGCAGAGAGACAAGAATAGGATCATGGATGAAAAAGTATAAGGTACATTCCCTGGAGGAAAATAAAACATGGGAATATGGCAGTTGAACAGGTAAAATTAAATGGATCTTTGAGATAAGTCTGAGAGAGTCACTTAGCCAAATTTCACTGAAGCAGATTGGAAGCTGGCATTATCAGTAGAGATTGAGAATGCTTTAGAAGCTCCAATTCAAACAATTCAAGCTTTTAGCATTGCTTCTGATAGTGCCCAAGTTCACATTTTATTTTTATTTTTTTTATCAAATTCTTATAAAGAATCACAAGAAAAAATAAATCATATTTATTGAATATACCCTATAAATGTAGTCAAGAAACTTAAGATTTAGTCTTAAAGTTTCCAAATATAAAATTTGTTGATGATAGAAAACAAAGAGTGATGGTTAATTGTGGGTTTTGCTTCATTTTAGAAAAGCACTAGAAATTCTAAGTTGTATTTTCCCTCTATACCATACTTATCTCTGTGTTGAAGTAGTTACAGCAAGGTATGTTCATGGATCAATAACTTCAAAATAATTATGGACCAGTAACTATGGTCACCCTGAATTTTCACACCATCAATAACCAAAAATTGGTGATGCCTCATTCTTTATTATAATATTTTTATTTTGTCAAGAGGAAAAATAACTATAGTTGAGATGTACTTGAGAAAATAACAAGGATGGATCTGTGTTTTATCTCACCAAAACTGTAGCCAGTGGTTTTATTTTCCCTTGAAGCTGACTTTTCTTTCTGGAATTAACCACAGAATTCACGTTGACTTACTCTTATCATTGTGAAAACTCATATTGTATTAGTTTTATTCTCTTAATTTGGCATACATATAACCCAATCTTATCAAAGTGGTATTTAAACTTGTCAGTCAATTTTACCAACAAGAAAACAAATTGCTTTGAGTTTTCTGTTTTCTTTGAGCCTACAGTTGGTGATAGCATACTTTTTCATCCTTTAAAATATTTTCAATCTCAAAGTTTTGCATACCTTGTCTCCTTTAAAAATTACAAACATTGCAAAGTAAAATCCCAGTGCCATTTTAAACCTTTTCCTTCTATCTTCCATCTGGTGTCCAGTCAATTTCAGAAATATACACAGATCTGAGGACATGTCTACATAAAATGTTTTTAAGATAAGTTGAATCCAGAACTGTACCACTAATCAACAAATCAACACAATATGGAAGTTTGTAAGGGATTCGCCCTTAGTATAATTCTCAGTACTAATATCCCAAGACCTCCAACTTCTATGATTGATTCTAGGTTAGAATTCCCACTGTCTGGGATGTTCTTCTTGATCTCAAAGTCTATGCCATGGGTAGAGAAAGCTGTGAGTCAGTGTTTGTAATATGTCTTCTGGACAGAAAGTAGAAAGAAATGATCATAGCTATGGCAAAATCTGGTGAATATCTTGAGGTCAATAAATGTATTTCTGATTTTGATTCAAATTGTGCCAGTATTTCCATAACAGGGAGTGGCTGAGTCATATAATAGTGAAGGAATTTCACCTTTCCATTTTTTTCTCATTGTGTTCTAGTTACATGATTAATTTGCTTATGCCAAGATTTTTCATTGTCAGATGAGAATTTTTCAGGACCTGCTTTAAGAACATCATTGGTAACTGTAGCATGAAGTGAAGGGCAATAATACCTATAAATATGGAAATGTGCCTATAAGAGTAACAAATATTAAGTACTGGATAATAAACTTGGGAGGGTTGACATTTCAAGCTGCCAAAAATGAAAATATTCTACTTATAAACACTTAGTCTAGAAATATTTCTGTCTATAAATTTTGATGTCTGACTTTGAAATCTATTTGACTATTGTTAGAAATTCATTCTCCTATGATTTCCAGATCCTAGTTCCATATTTCATTATATAACTTCAAATTGAACTGGTACCATGAATATTCTGCTTTAAAGAGCTCCATATTTTTTATCCCACTACAACACGTATGTTCAGTTGTTTCCTCTTAATAATTACCTCCCAAATGCTTGTGTTTTTTGAGAGGTATATAATGTACATGATACTTCTTTCTGACACAGAGCCTGAGTCTAGAGTGTTTACACTGGTTGATGTTTACATTGCCCAAACTCAGTGCCTCAAACACCTCTGTGACCAGTTTTGTCTCCAACCACATAACTCATTTTCTCTAATCTTAGGTCTCCAAAAGGTCTCACAGAGACAATACTATAGTGCAAAGCCAGCTGATAGCAGCAAAGGATTCAAGAACATCATTGGTATCTGGAGATTATTGCTACCTTCTCCTAGGCTGTCACAGATTAGACATTTCTTGAGAGTTAACTATAAATTGGTATAATTCGATCTTTAATCTAATACAAGAATTATCTTTTGAAAAATATGCAAAATAGTCAAGAGAACATGCTGTTGATCTTAGTCTGACTATTGAAACAAGTTGCAACTAAGTGGAGAAAATGCTGCCTATTGGGAGATGAACTTGGATCTCTCTGTAATAGTTTCACAATTCATAATTTACTACTTTAGTCAATTTGCTATCAATTTACTGTAAAAAAAAAAAAGACACCAAAACCAGCATTTTCTAAAGTATTTTATCTGTTAATTTTTAACCAGATGAGACATTCTATACATCAGTGGGTGGCTTTGTTCTAATGTACAGTTATTGTTTGCCAACCTGTATAGATGAGGTGAATGGTTAAGAGTTTGAATGTGTTTTGTTGTCCTTTGTGTCAAGAAGAAAGAAAGAAAGAAGGAAAGAAAGAAAGAAAGAGAGAGAGAAAGGAAGAAAGAAAGAGTGAACTTGACTATAAAGCGCTGTAACATGACATTAAAGATATGTAATAACAATCTCATTCCAAAGACATTTAAAGCTTCGGATTGAGTCTATTGGGACTCAACAGATTAGATGAGGCTCGGGTACCTCCTCATTAGTATACTAGGGTACCAGTTAGAGGCAGCTCTGTGTGGTGATGCAGTGTGTGCCTAGACAAGGTGAACACCCCAAAGCGCCTATGAAGGAGACCATTCACTCTTCTGTACCTCTTTTCTCTTAATAAAGGAAAAAAAATCGCCTTCCTTGCTGTATATCACACTTAAAAGTGTGATGATGAATTGTTATCCATGGAGGATTTTAGAGTTATGTTCAATACTCAAACTATAAAGAAGTAACATTCCAAGTCTATGGCTTGCTAAGATATGTAGTAACTCCTTAAAGGTCTGGAGATATACAAGCTCAGATGTAGGACACCTGAGTAGTATGTCTGGGGACTTGGGTTTGGTCTTCAGGCAACAGAAGGGCAGGGAGAAGAAGGGGGAGCGAAGTTTAGCCAAAGTGAAAGAAAACCTGGTTTTCATTTTCTACTACCAAGCTTTACAACACTGAAAGTGACCTATAAGTGTGAATATTTTAAAGAAAGCTTTATAAATTTTCAAGATGCCAAGAAACTCACTATGGTTGCCTAAGAATTCACTCCATTATATTTTCTTCCCAATATTTAACCACAGTGAGGTCGGCTCATTTCTGGCGTGACTGCAGAGATCTGAGACCTGACAATGGGTACTGGGTAGTAACTGAGAGTTATCTCAATGCATGGAGCTGCCTGTCTCATAGTATAGAAATAATAAACACTGCTGGGTATAGAGAAGATTTTATAAAAAAATTATTGTCATTGAATTCTTGAGTGGTGTCCAACCACAATGACGTCATTGATCAAGAACTTGGGAAGAAATAAGAATGACAAGCTAGCTAGGTCAGGTCTTTCAATATAGGAGATCATGAAGAAGGTCATAGATTGACTTAGGTAGAAAAGGAAAAGTTTTAACATTTTTAAACTAGATCTGTGGAAATGTTTCCATGTTATTTTTATCTGCTTTGTGGAGTTTATGCCCTTAGAACCAAACTAAGAAAAACGTATGTGCTTACATGTATGACTACCAAATATTTAGGTTACTTAAAAATATTTTATTTAGGCCAGGTGGTGGTGGCACACACCTTTAATCCCAGCACTTGGGAAGCAGAGCCAGGTGGATCTCTGTGAGTTCAAGGCCAGCCTGGTCTACAGAGTGAGATCCAGGAAAGGCGCAAAGCTACACAGAGAAACCCTGTCTCGAAAAACCAAAAAAAAAAAAAAAATTATTTACTACATATGAGTCTGAAATTCTTAATAATTAATGTTTTCATTTTCAAGCAATAACATTTAAAGATGCTTTATTGCCACTTTCTTTGAACCAACAGTTTATGGCTGAGGTGTTATGTAATTTCATGTGTGAAAAGCCCGTTAACAAAAAAAAAAATAAGAAAGAACTAAGGTAAAACATTAGTACTGAAATGGTGGAACTATTTAAAAGGATGTCACCTTTTTAGGGATCACCTCTGGCTTAAGTTTGCTTTGCTGCCTCCTTTCCTTTCTAAGAGGTCATCTGCACTGTGGCTGGCACCTCTTAGCTAACTTAGTCTTTAGCAAATCCTACAGGAGTCAGCTCATCATGCCTTCATTGAATAGCTCCCCTATTTAACCTGTAACTGTTGTCCACATGTCAAACACTATATAGTAAGGGACTCAGTCGTATATCCTTATCGTTTTGTTCTATGTGATTCTTGTCCCCAGATGCTCTTTGGTGGAGGATCTGTTGTAGAGAGAAAAGCAGTCAGATATGACAACTTCAGGCCTATGTGGCTTCTTTCATACAGAACTTTACAAACATTGAGTAATTCATGAGGTTCAAGTTAGGTTCAAAAGAAATGTACAAAAGAAACTGTTCTCTTTCATAAACAGACACCATTATCATAAACTAAGAAAAATAAATTCACTCCTAACTTGGGCCACTTGTCATGGTAAGATATATAGCAGGACCATCACAGTAACTATAATAGAGTGCTAAATGGATTGGCAGTCACCTTGAGGTCACTGCATTTGATTGAAAATGTGTTATATACTTTACTGTTGGGAAAAAAAAATATGAGCTCTGTTTCAATTAATGTGTCATCTTGTACTTCTTTCAAGGAGACCAGCTGGATTCAATGTAGGATATTACAAGTTGGTTAAAATCCCATGTACAAATTAAATTTTATGTTTAAAAGATTCTTGTATTTGAACTTAAGAAAAATAAATTATCCTGCTTCACTTTACGTGCTAACAGTAGATTTTCTGATGACACTGAAGTGCTTCACGGTAGCTCAACAATTTCCGTTCCAGGAATATCATCCATCTCTTCAACCTGAGCATGTTTGTTTTGTCTGCTTTCTGTATGGATCTCAGTTTTGTCTAATGCTTTCAATGTAACTTAAGACTTTGAGTGTGGCTTATTCAATGTGCTTCCAAGCAGGCAGTGGTTTCTGACAAACACTGTTAGGTCATTATTTGTTATATCAAAGTTCCAGTGGCTTCAGAAATCATAGCACCCTGTGATTTTGTGGTGTCTGGGTTTGAGTAGTATTGTTGAGAACTGTAACTAGTGATTGTTCCTGCACACTTTTAAAATAAAAACATGTTTTTATCAAGTACTCTGTATATTAAAATCAACTTTGTGTGTACACTGATGTTGAATGCGCAAAGAGTGGAGAACTAGATATGGATAAATCAGCATGAAACGTTTGCAACATTAAAAACGGAATCCATTTAGAGTGGGGTAAACATTACTTGAATTCATCCCAGTGACTTTTATTCATCTCTCTAAATGTCCTAATTCATTATTTAAAAGCTGAGCTTTTCAATTGATATTCTCTAATAGTTTTGAATGATACATTCATTGAAATGAGTTCACATGTTGAGGTGTTCCCTAGTCCATAAGCACTTCTGAGTTCTTTATCCATAACAAAATGCTGCACCATAATGGACTCCAGTTTGATAACAGACTTGGTAAAAGGCTGGCAGTTCAAGGCCCATTCTAAACCACACCTTCCCTTTCAATGTTCATTTGGCAAAGTTGCTTTGTTCCCAGAGTCAGTCTCTTTCCATATGCTGCTTAGACAGGCTTTGCCAAGATAATGATGAAGTTTTAATTTAAAGATCAACAAGGCTCCCTGTGTAAGCTAGGAAATCCTTGGCCTCTCCATTTTGACTTTGCTGCCCAGCATTGCAGTAGTGCACAGGCAGAATCTTTTGCTTCTGGCCTCATCCTAGATCAGTCAATTCAAATCTCTAAGGTCTTGCTTTCCAAATGTTTTATAGAACTTTTTAAGGCACAGTATGTGCCATATGAGAGAAAAACCAGAGAATCCTGACATTTGTTTTCTGTAATTATGGGACTACTGTGTTTAAACTGCATTTGTGATATGTTGTATTATTCACAGTTCTCTATTCTAAGGAAAAATTTACTTTCATGTGTTGCTGCTTCTGCAGAAAGAATTAACCAAATGAAGAACATGGGCATTGCTATTCTGTTGGAAATGCACAAAAGCAGCACACACCGAGGTTTAGAGGCCAACACACTGATTATGATTTCACTAAGCCAGTCTGCTTCCTGGAGTGGTTTTGTTATGCTAATCTCATTTTTGCAATCATCTTTGCTTTGGACCATTTTCATAAGTCTCTGAAAGACGAGGGACTCTTTTATACTAAGTGTCTGAAGACAAAACAACCGAACAAAACAAAACAAAAAAAAAGCAGCAACAGCTGTAAAGTTGCAACAGACCTCCTCGGTGTGTTCAATTCACTAGAGAAACTCCACAGTGCATGCACTCATCCTGGGAAGTGACCCAGACAGAGAGATAAAGAGCCCTGTCATTTAACACACTGGACACAGATGCAGACCACCCTACTCCCACCCAGAAACCTAGGCCAATTTTTCTCTTCTTCTGAGTGAAGTGTATCATGAGGCCACTGGAGCCGTATAAAGCAAGAACACTTAAAGGAGCCATTTAGGCATAGTTTACCCCACCCCCACGGCCCCTTCCAGAGAAAACTGAAGAAAGAGGAGAACCATACAGGCTCCTAAGCTTATCCTAAATGAGCTTAATCCTTGGTTTTCCCCAACACACAAATGAGATGGTTTCCATGAAAAAAATATAAAAGACTATAAATGTGGAAGGGGATTTGTGTACAAAGATGATAGAACTAATTGTTTGGTCCCTAGGCCATGGACATACCCAGACTTTTGCTCCTTGGAGACTACTGGGCCTGCCTGAGAATCAGCATGAACCTCTTTCTGGTCCGGTAATAGTGTCTGCTTTCCTCATTTTCTGTTCTTCCTGTTTCTGCTTAAATATACTTGCAAAGAGAAGCATTCTTATTTTAAATGACTGCCTGTTTAAATCACTGATGAATAGTTACTACTATATCACCCCATCTAAAAGGGGTAAAGCCATCCTGGCAACTGCTTGTCCCTGTAGGCAGCTTCATATTTTCTTTGCAATCCATCAGACATCTCTGACTTTATTATCTTCCCTGTCAGTAGAATGTATGTTCTTTACAGTTCTGGGGATGGACCCCAGTGCCTGAAGCATGTCAGGCAAATGCTTTACCACCGAGCCACACCTCCACCCTGTTAGATACTTTAGGAATATAAATAGAGACATTTATATTTTTTTTCTTTCCGACTCTTTCCTTCTTCCCTGTGCCTATTACCACATCCTCTTGTATCTCTGGCATTTAGAACTGGGTCTGACAACCGAGAGACATTCAAGAATATTCCTTGTAAAAATAAATGTGTAAGTCTTTCTTGAGAACACAAGTGGGTGAAATGTAGAATTACCTACAGCTAATTCTTCTTCCTCCTCCTCTTCTCCTTCTCCTTCTTCTTTCTTTCTCTTCCCTCCCTCCCTCCTTCATTCATTCATTCCTCCTTTTCTTCTTGTCTCTTTATCCTTTTCCCCTTTTCCATATGTAATGTCTTATTGGAGTAACTATGTATACAATGTATTGTACATATTTAAGTTGTACATTTGCCTAACTTATTATGGAGGGTACCTGTGAAAATTTGCCGTCATGAAGATACTGACCTCTTGATGTTTCTCTGTCCATTTTCAATTCTTATTCCTCTACAGGCACCAATTTGTTACTAGAAAAACATATGGTATATTTTTATTTTACTCTGGCTTCCTTTTACTTAGCATAATAATTTGAGATTTTATTAGGGGTATGTAATTGATTGTTGGTGGCTTGGATCTTTCACAGGTGACAGCCCAGCATATAGGTATGCCACATTTTATTTACTCATCTGCCAGTGGGCATTGTTTGTTTTGATTTTAGCTTTTGGCTCCTATAAAGATGTGATTAAAAATAACATAAAAACCTTACTGTGTACAAAGAGCTTCAGTGTCCCTTCAGCAAAAACTAAGCAATTGAATGGCTAGATTGTGTGACAAACGTATGCTTAAGAAATTGTCAGTTTTCTAATGTGGTTTCACCACTTTTCTGGTCCTGTCAGGAGTGAATGGATCAGTTCAGTTGTTCCAAATCTTCAGTACTGGCAGTCTCTCTAATTTCCACTATTCTAGAGTATTAGCCAAATTTTGTCCATCTTTGGGTATTCCCATGATACCCAGTAAGTTGGAAATGCTTCCTAACAACTTTTGAAAATCATTAAGAGTCTTCAATCGATCTCTCCTTAGTTGTACCTTTTGGGGTCTAATTTTTTGTAGCTCTATCTTATATCCTAAGTAATTAATAGAATCTCCTCTTTGTATTTTTTCAGGAGCAATTTGCAGTCCCCAGTGAGGCAAAACTTTTTTTTTATTCTTTTAAATATGCTTTCTAATGTGTCTAACTTTGGATCAGCTAATAGGATATCATCCATATAGTGATAAATTATGGATTGTGGAAACTTTATATGAATTATCTCCAATGGTTTTTGTACAAAGTATTGGCACAAGGTAGGGCTGTTTAACATTCCCTGTGGGAGGACCTTCCATTGATATCTCTTGACTGGCTGGGAATTGTTATAATTAGGTACTGTGAAGGCAAATTTTTTTCTATCATTTTCTTGTAAGGGTATGGTAAAGAAACAGTCTTTTAAGTTGATAACTATTATAGGCCATTCTTTGGGTAGTAGAGAGGGCAAGGGCATCCCAGTCTGTGGGGAGCCCATCAGCTGAATTACTTTATTAATAGCCCTCAGATCTGTCAGCATTTTTTAATTACCAAATTTTTTTTTTAATAACAATACAGAAGAATTCCAAGGGCTGGTAGATTCTTTAATGTGTTAAGCATTTGACTGCTCTTGAACTAGCTGTTCTAAAGCTTGTAGCTTCTCTTTTGTCAAAGGTCATTGTTCAACCCAGACAGTTAGCCATTTTAAAAGTAAGGCAGTTGGTACTTCTGAGAGTTCAACAGCAGTTGTGCTCTGTTTGTGTACAGCCTGAATGGTTGGTGACTGTTTTTTATAGCATGCTATGATATTATTCCTAGAAACATGCATTGGTCTGTATTTTTTTTTCTGAGAGTGTAGGATTTTTAATCTGGGTATTCTACTGCTGTAACAGATCTTGGCCCCAAAGATTTACTGCTACATTTGTTACATATGGCTTCAGCCTTCCTCTCTGTCCTTCTGGCCCTATGCATTCAACCTATCTCGAACTCTTTTATCTGAGATAGGGTTCCAATCCCTAGAAGGTGGACACCTACCTCTTGAAGAGGCCAATTCGGATGCCTTGATTTTGGTGTAGTTATAGTCACATCCACACCTGTGTCTACCAGGCCCTCCAGAACCAGGCCATTAATTTGAATTTTAAGTTTTGGTCTTTATTTATGGAAGTCTGTCAAAATATTTGTTTTATTGTATTCTTTGGAAATTGTGATTCATCTATCAGAGCTGTTTTATCATCCATTGTAGTATTGGTTTTTACATTAGGCATTGGTTTATTCAGTTGTCCTGGAGAGGAATTTCTTCCACAGTGGATGGAAATGTTTGTATCACATTTGATTTGGGAGCCTGCAAGAGGCCCCCTGGGGTGTTTCCCACCAGTAAAGGGTTGCCTCGTATATCTATTTTTGATATGTACTTGCTGGTCCAATGTTGGCCTTTGCCACCTCTTCTACATAATCCTGGAGGTTGAGGTCTCCTGTTTGGACTAATTTTAGAAGTAGTATTACCTCTAGGAGCACCCCATGTACAGTTTTTACTTATATGACCTGGTGTACCACATTAAAACGTTTGGTACCACGGGGCCTTCTTCACCTCTGGGATTTGTCTCTCCTATCCAAGCCTCATTAATGTAGTTAAGAGACTCAACACCATTAGTATACTGAATCCATTCTTCCAAAGGAGCTGATCTGACCTTTAATGGTGTAAGTATTTTTTTTACATTCTGTATTAGCATTGTCAAATGCCAAGGACTCAGTTAATACTTTTCTTAATTCTTTATCTGACACAGCTTTTGTTATAGCTGTGTTCAGCCTTTGTAAAAAATCAGTGAAGGGTTCATGCAGTCCCTGAAATATCTTTGTATATACCTTAGTTGGTTTTCCAGGTTCTGGAATTTTTTCTCAAGCATTTAGAGCTGCTGTATGGCATAGGGATATTGTATGCCCCTCATAATTGGCATGTACATTCCTGTCAGCAAAA